GCGGGGTCTGGCGCGGGCTGTGGGGAGTGCCAGGGCGCGGGGCACGGCTAGGTGAGGGTGCGGGCACAGGTGCTAGCGGGTGGTGGGTGCGGTGTGTGTGGGGGGCACGGGTGTGTGGGGGCATGCGGGCGGGAGGTGCAGGAGTGTCGGCTGCAGGGCTGRAAGGTGCCGGGGTGCGGCGTAGAGGTGTGCTGGGTACCGGTGTGATGGGTGCAGGGGTGTCTGGGGGACACGCGGGKAGGAGGTGCCGTGCTGTGCAGGTCTGTGGGGCACCTGCAGGCAAACACAGGCAGGTGAGACTGGAGTATGCACGGAGTGCGAGCCAAGGGGAGAGCCGGTGGAGGCTGTGGGGTCTGGGCAACAGGGAGAAGGCAGGTGAGGGAGGTGCAGCGAGGCTTAGGGACGTGATAGAGGCATCCGAGGCGGGTCACTGCTGTAGGGTGCAGCCCCAGAGGAGCTGGCATCTCCGGGACACTCGTGGGTGCTGGGGAGGGCAAGGGTGCGGTTTGGGGCTGGGTGTGGGAGAAGGATGAAGTGCCTTCAGGGAGGAGTGTAGTGTTTGTGGGGCAGGAGAAAACGGGGTGCTGCCCGATGGGCAGAGGTCCAGCAGTAAGGGGAGAGGGGTGAGGAGAAGGGAGGGATATGGTTCACAGTTCAGGGTGGGGGAGATGCTGCCTGGCAGCACATGGCTCAGGGCATTGGGGCATGTAGGCACCCCAAACGTGGCCACCCCAAATGTGACCACTCCCAAATGTGGCAACCCCAAGTGGAGCCAGCACCAAACAGGAAAGGTCGTTATGTAACAAGAGGGACGTGCAGCCCTGCCAGGAGTCATCGGTGCAAAACCTCGCAGGGAACCGCACCGAGCCATTCTCCTTCTGCCAGGCAGCGCCAGCTGGGTGGCAGATACTTCAGAAGGGGGTGTGGGATAAGGGATATTCCTTTTTGAAAAAAAAAAAAAAAAAAAAAAAAGCCAATCCCAAAACATCATTCTATCTGAAAAAATAAAGGCAAGGAGCAGAAAGTTACACAGAAGGATGCAGGGGACTTGGTGTGCAATTTGCCCTCAGCATGTGGCCGAGGCAGCAGCATTCCAGGCTCTCCACCTCGCCTGGGCAGTGATGAGCGCTGCTGGTCTTGCCAGTCATGTTGCTTCAAACAGGGAAAATCCAGGCAGGAGCCTGAGCAGGAGGCTGCAGTCTTGCCTGGCTGTGGGCTCTGTCTCACTGGGCTGCAATCGCTGCTCAGAGGYGGCACCATAACATCCAGCAGGATTCAGGGCAGCCAAGCTGCAGGCAGGCTTTGGTGTGTAAGATCTCTGTGAGCTTTCACACAGAGTGTGAAAAAAATACCTTTGAGAGAAATTGTGCTCGTTTTCCTTTCAATTTTTCTCAGTTTCCTTTGCTGGAGAGTCACAACCGCTTTGCTTTGGATTCTGCCAGCGAGAAGTTGTTCATAGCTTTTTGAACAATTTAAAATTAAATACCTGCGGGGC